CCCGTCTCTTCTTAAAGAATAAGCGTTGACAATACTTTTCACCCAAACTTGAAGCGAATAATAACATTCATTTGTGGCAACTCTAGGAAAAAACCACCAGACGGAGACATGAAAACCCCACCAACATCCACACTTTGATTTTAGACCCGGTTGCTTGGGATGTACCTTACGTATGAATCACGGAGGAGCTGGGCGCTGTCAGACTGCCTGACGGCGTGAGAACGGACTGTATTCACCTTAAACACCTTTTATTGTCCTCGCTAGCAGAAGCCTGTGAGAAAGAACCCTGTTCCCAGGGCCGCCAGAGAAACACATGTGAGCATCTAATAACGTAGCTCAGCTCATCACTCACTGGCAGCCGCAAGAGGAGCTGTAATCCTGTCGAGAAGTCAAATTATCCCGCAGATTTTCCCACCTCGCTCTGTAAACCATTCCTTTTAAAGTATAAGCTTCAGACTAAGTATGTTTATAGACCTGGCATCTCCCCGGCTTGCATTGAAAAGTTTCCTCTCCTTATTAAGAGTGGAGCTCTCTAAGGAAGGTGTTTACCATCCTAAGTGCGTCGTGTTTACTATGATGGGGCTCTGCCCGGGGCTTATCTACTCTGGTCTCCTTCTCTTCTTAGTGGCTCACATCTGAGGCTGCCAATACTCACACCCATTACTCTCCAGAGTCACATGCTCTCGCCCGGCTGGCGTGGCTCAGTGATTGAGCACCAGACTCATGAACCGGGAGGTCACAGTTCAATTCCCGGTCGGGGCACATGCTCGGGTTGCAGGCCCGATCCCCAGTTGGGGGCTGCAGGAGGCAGCCGATCAGTGACTCCCTCTCATCATCGATGTTTCTATCTCTCTCTCCCTCTCCCTTTCTCTGAAATTAAAAAAAAAAATATTTAAAAATAAAAGTCACATACTCTCTCTTAGTAACTACCTTCTAGGATCTTCCAGGAAAGGCAGTCTAGACATCTGAATCCATTGACTCATTTAATTCGTGTGGCACCTGCAGGGCAGTCTCTGTTACCTCCCTGTGACCAGGCAGTTTTGGTTCCTGTCCTTGAGTCTCACGGCTCGACCCCTGGCCCGAGTAGCAGCAAACGCCCGGCTCATTGGGTCTGACCATGTCCAAACGCCCGGCTCATTGGGTCTGACCATGTCCAAACGCCCGGCTCATTGGGTCTGACCATGTCTGCCTCTGTGCATCACGGCTAACCATGCATCCCATTGTTTCCAGGCTCAAGTAAAATAATGCATATCAGCATTTTCATAAACTCTGAAGACTTTATAAATTGTTCTTTCTGAGGCAGTGAAATTTGAAAATGCTAACTGGTCAAATCCTTTTCATAAACATGCTTCTTAAATACTTAGGTGGGTGGTCGAAGCCCCTCTCCCCTTTGGTTTTCTGTTACCAGCATGGGGAGATTTTCATAAGCAGTTTGTTTGCTTATTAAGCGGACACCTATTCGGTATCTGGTGACCTCTAGTTACCCTAACATCCCCGCTCTCGCCGCCTATTTTCCTGGGCTGCCCTACGTGCCTGCGTTCTGTGTGTCCATCCTGCTTTCTGCTCGGCTGCAGGTGAACTGTTAGCACGAGTGTTTCATTCCTCACGTAAAAGTCGAATTCGGATATTTTATCTTCTGTGACTAGTGATGGGAAAGTCAGGTCCTAGAGCTGAGGAAGATATTTTTGGACAGTGGGATCGTATGATTTCCTTCAGATCACACCCTCTCATGCCTTTGAAGACAGTGTTGTGTATCTCTCTTCTGTAATGATTCTTCCAGAATTGGTAGAAAGCCCTTTGCAGTCAATAAAAGGATGGTGTGACTGATGAATTATAAATAGGAAAGTGTTCGTCTCTGCCAAGAAACTCGAATCTGAATTGTGCAAATTTCTGTCACTACCTCCTTTTGAAGATAAGACTGTTTTTATGCAGAGACAAGGAAGGTTTATCTTGTACATCTGCAGGGTTTGAAAATGTATATCTAAACATAGAAGGAAATCATGATACATCCAGGTTCTGATCTCAGAAATCTAACACTGTGCTTTTAATACATTCATCTCAACATACTAAAGATTAAACGAGTATCTTGTAAAACTGTGTTAATGTGGACGTATCCTCGTAGCCATTTGATGAATATTATCAGTTTTTGAGTTGTTATAATAATATATTTATTAATTTAAAAATATCCTGAGAAGAAACAGGATTCAGAATATTATTAAATTAAAATGACTGAAAACCGGTTTGACTGTCAGTAACATGAAACGCCTCCTTCCACGTGGAATTTGTGGTATATTTTTATTGATTTTAGAGAGAGGAAGGGAGAGGGAGAGAGAGAGAAACACCAATGATGAGAGTCCTTGGTGGGCTGCCTCCTGCGCGCCCGCGGCTGGGATCGTGCAGTGACGGGGATCGAACCACAGTCTCCTGGATCCTGGGTCGACGCTCAGCCGCTGAGCCACGCCCGGCCGGGCAGGACAGGCAGCACTTTAAGTTTAAATTCTCTGTTCCTCAGTAACAACATCTCAGAACTCACTTAACCAGCGTCAGACACAAAACAAATGGTCCATTATCCGCTGCGTCACGATGACGTCAGTCCTCGGAGGCATTGCTCTCTAGAATGGGCCCAAGCTTGAAGAAAATGGCGAATACGTTGGTAACGGGATGTAGTGAAACACATGCCGCATGTGACTCCCACGTTCCACGAGTCCCGCCCCCTTAGTTCATGGGGGGAAACTGAGGCTCCCTGGGACCAAAGGCACAAGGACGTCACGTGGGTGGACGGGCTAACCCAGCGGCTTCGTTCCTCAGCCCTCGGCTTTCTGTTTGACGTCATGAGTGGCACCGTGTCTACCCAACACGAGGCCAAGATCCTAGAGGGCTGAGCAGAGGGACTGCGTTTGGGCAGTAAAAGCAGCACATAAGCAAAACAATGCTCTGGACCTGTCCTGTTGGCAGTGAGGGGGAGACTTACGCAGTCGAGCAGCTGGCTTTCCTAATTCCATTTGGTTATACCGGTGTTTGGCCAACTTAGTGCCAGCCATAGGAGAAGGGCCAGGCCCCTGACCTGCTCAGACTGCCTGCAGTGTTATGTCCGTGTCTGGACAGCCTGTGCTCCTGCCCGTAAACATGCTCACTGGCTGCTGGAGGGACGTGAGGAGATGATTTGAAACACGTGGAAACTTTTTTCTTTCCCTCGCTTACTGTAGCTGGGGATCATCATTACGCTCGGATATCTCTGACTTCAACCTGTATTCTTATGTTGGCAATTTTAAGAGAAAATAAATAAAATTCAGTGGAGTAGATAAATTTGGACTATTGTGGTAACACCTTCTACAGCTAACTAGAGTCTGCATTAATCAGCCATATCCTTTTAAACAAAAATGTTCTCTTGCACAGCTAATTCTCTTTCTCAGAAATGAACCCCTGAATATTTATTCAGTTTGGAATAATCCTCTACTTCATGAGAATTCCAGTGAATATTTTTTTCATGTGCTACAGCATAGGTTTCTAGGCATTTTACAATAGTTATGCTTTTTTTTTTCTTTTCAAATCTGAGATCTAAGAAACACTCTTCATGGTAAAACTAAAGATCTTGAACTAAATTTTCCTACAGTTAATTTTTGGGGAAAATGACATTAAATATTTTTAGGTATTTTATTCTTTATTAAAAGCACAGACTATTTGTTCATTTGTAGGGAGTATTTGTCCTGTGTTTTGTGCTGGACAATTTGAAAGAGGCACGAGTCCTTTCCTCTGGAATCTTCTGACAAATTCTGAGACGCTGCTATGACAGGAGAGACTGAAAACAGTCTCTTAGTGGAAAAATAACCTTATTGTGTCTTTGAAAAAAACCACACGTGCATAAGTTTGTAATTTATCTTTGGGTTTATTGATTATCAGGACCATGATGAATTCACGTCGTGAGGAAAATAAACATCTCAACATATAGGAACTGAATTTTCTACCCTTATACTAATAAAAGTATAGAACTGAATTAAGAAACGAGTATGTTTTTAACAGCTTAGAATTATCAGGAATTTCTCACACGTGGCAGATATATGGCAGAGAGAAGCTCAGTTATGAACAAAGAGGGAAATTTTACAGGTGAAACATCCCTCAAGGACCCCTCTTTTCGATACTGCTCATGATATGACACAAGTGATTGTACTGTGGGGACTAAGTCTGTCCACCGATTCACGTTATTACGAGCACTGTACCTGTAGATTACATTCATGCTGGAGACACAGCTCCTACAGCTGCAGCCTTCATAGGACTAATCTGTGTATCAGGACAGCATTTCGTTAATGAGAACACACCCATGAGCTGACGACTCCGGTGAAAACGTTACAGTATTGAGGAAAGGCCTTCCCTTTTTTGTAGGTATCGACCGGCCACTGCCTAGGTGGGCCGTAAATTGTGTGAGTCATGTGGCCGGAGTTCTGGAGGGTCCCTTTCTTTGGGGATCTGTTTTCTTTTCGGGAACTAGAGCTCAGTTTATAGTTGGATTGCTAATGGAAAGAACAAGGGCAGTGCTCTCAGTAACCCGCCTTCAGTTTAAGCTCTCGGGTGGCCGTCAGGAGCGGTCCTGGGACTGCGCCGTCTTCAGAAGCCTCTGGTACATGTCCGACTTTAGGAACCGGGGGTACGAGTCTCTCTCCATGTGCATGTACACAATTTTTTGCGCCTCTTCAAAACACGCTGCGGTGGGTTCTCGAATGTTCCTGATGATGTTTTCTCTCGTCGAACTGTCAATGTTAATCTGCAAAGTGAAGTCGCGCGGCAGGCGGGGTTAGAGATGCGCACCTAACGGGAAGCTTTGCCGTATTCCCCCCTCTCCTTTCAGTGGAACGGGGTTATTTTGTTTGCAGCTTCGTAGGTGTCTCAACGGACATAGGAGGCAAACTCTTGGCTGCTTTGAAAGGAAACATCCACCTCCACATCCCAGATAAAAACAACAAGAGGCCCAGGACCCCAGAGACGGCCGAAACCATTGCTTATCTAGGAGGCTGAAAGCACAGAATTTGTTAGTGGAGCCTACAAGCAAGAAGCTTACTGGACGGAGGTCCTTGCGAGGGAAAAAGGGAAGTCGGTGCTATTTTAAACGCTGCCTTCCTTAATGTCACGCATGTTGACTTAACTGAACACGCCCCGAAAGGGGAAGAAAGTGAAGGCAGGTGGAGAAAGAGAGAAGTGGTCAGTTCAGGAAAGCAGCTATTTTCCAGGCGAGGGTTTTGCGGAGCAGATCCATAGGGTGGGGCTGTGCCGGGCGACGGGAGCCTCGCCTGCGGAGCTCTCCCCGTCCCCCGACAGGGCTGTTCATTCCTCACTGTCTCCGCATCAGGCGGAGCCTGAGTGTGTGTGTTTCCCCCATGACTCTGTTTTCTTCAGGCTCTGGTATGTGATGGGCAGCGACACCAGTGTGAATATCCGTGGGGTTTGCTGGCGTTAAACTCAGGTGAGCGTGAGCTCTGGTGTGGAGGCACAGACTCGGCCCAGCACCACTGGGGACGTCAACATGCCCGTTTATGTAACTGTAGTTTCTTTTAGCAAAGCCAATTATTATTTTAAAAAATTTCTTTCTGTGAATTCTCACTGGAAGATATCTTTTCAATTGATTTTTTTTTTTTTAGAGAGAGAGTGAAAGGAGGGAGGAAGGGGGAGAGAGAGAAACATCGATGTGAGAGAGACACATGGATGGGCTGCCTCCCGAACTCGCCCCTACCGGGCATCTGGGGCCAGGGATCTAACCTGCAACCCAGGTACATGCTCTTGACCAGGAATCGAACCCTCAACCCCTTGGTGTGGGGGATGTTACTCTAACTACTGAGCTACACCGGCCAGGACACCAATTCTCCTTTTTAAAATATCTCATTTAGGGAATTAAAATCACTTAATAAGGAAAGGCTCAGGAGCCCCGTTGACCTAACTTGGAGTCCTAGCTTTCCCACGTAAGCGCTGCGTGCCGCCGGGCGAGGTGGTTAACCTCCGATTCTCTGGATTCTTGTCTGTGGACAACATGGACTTGTGTCAGCCCCCAGGGCCGCCGGGCGGGAGGTGCCTGGCGCCTCTGTGCTCGACAGACACTGACACCCCGACTTCCCTGTGTTGTCGCTGTCGGGGTAGTTACCTCTCTAGGGGACTGCGGCTGGATGTAAATCTTATACAGCTTCTTCGCCCGAGAGACTCTGCTCCATCGCGAGGCGATTTTCTTGTAGCTCTCGCAGGCCATCCAGAACTGCATGTTCTCGTCGCTGCGCTCCGCCTTCAGGTATGAGCCGTAGACCGCCGGGCCATCTGACGGTAACGGAGAAACCCGGTTATTCTCATGAGGCAGAATCATTAAAAGCTGAAAAATACGTGATGCAGTTTAAAAATAAAGCCTGAGTCAAAGCGCCCAAATTACTTAACAAGTGAATATTACATACTATCACGCACACGCGTGCACGCTCCCCCCCCCACGCCACACGCAGCTGCTTGCTCCTGAAGCCTGGGTCGACAGCACCGGTCGGCGGTGTGCTCACGCCTTCGTTCTTTCTTTCTTCCGGATCATTTCTTTTCTTTCTGTGAATTTCGGATCTTTTGTTCAGCTTTCTTTTGCATCGTTGGTGCTTGCTTGAGATTTTCACATCTCTTTATACATGAAAGACTCAGTTATACTGAGAACAGCGTTATCATCTGTTCCCTTTTCCCATGGTCTCTTTGTGTATGACTTTTCCAGGAGTATTTGTAAACCATCTAATCTATAAAAAAACCCTCTCAGTTCATCCATCGGACCCTGCTTTTCATCTGTTGTGCACTTTATTTTTTCTGCCCTTTTACTAGACGAAAAATCTGTAAAACAAAAATCTTCCAAGCTTTTCTCATTGCCCTAAATGGCAAACACCTGACCTCTTGGCCAGTGGCGGCAGGCCCATGGGGTAGAGCGCTGTCCAGCATGTCCCTTGTCCCTCCTGGACGCGGTCTTTGATGGAAACTTCCTGTCTCTGGGCAGGCAGGGCGCTGCCCCCGTGCTGTGGTAGACGAGTTCCTTCGGTATGGCGTGTTTTATACCCTGGCCTAACACTCAGCTTGGGTATTTCAGTTTCTGGAAAAATTTCTCCGAACCTGCCACGCTCCTGTGAGTTGACAAAGAGCCCCTAGTGCACACATTTTAATTACATCTCGCTCCGTGCCACCGTCTACTACGTTTATTGCTTTATTTCTCTCCCACTCCCACTCCCCGGCACACCCTTTGAGAACTGGAACTGCACTTTCTTCACCTGCAGGTGCCCAGTGCCCACGCACTGCCCGACGTACGGCACACGCAGGTCCCGAGCAAATAAATGCCCATCATTCCTGGCCTCTGGGTCCCTCCTCCTTCCATATTTTATGTCTTTTTTTAAAAAAATTTTTTATTTTCAGAGAGAGGAAAGGAGAGACGGAGAGAGAGAGCGAGAAGCATCCGTGAGAGAATCATTGACCGGCTGCCTCCTGCACGCCCCTGACTGGGGATCGAGCCCACAGCCCGGGCATCCAACCAGCAACCTCCTGGTTCGTAGGTTGACTCTCAGCCACTGAGCCACACTGGCCAGGGTGCTTTTATATTTTAAAGTAGTGACTCCCATAGGTTTTGAAAAGTGAATCAGACCCTAATTATAAACCTCCAGAAAGCACCAAAGACCAGAGGCTTACACTTGGCACGTTGTTACTTCTTGGTTTTCTGAGCGAGACAAAATGTACTGATCGAACAACGATGCCTCCGAGAGGCCAGGTGTTGTTGTTTTTTCCCTGCAGGGTGACAAAGGGCATGAGAAGTGAACAAAGACAGAGGTGCTAAGTGGGAAAGGCTGAGGCAGGGCTGCAGGTATTAGGAGGGCTGGGGATGGGAACCATGGCAACGGCAGTGATGAGCGAGGTTAGGACAGAGCCGCGTGCTGGAAGCTGCGGGTCCACAGAACACTGCCGCGTGATCTCTCCCAGAAGAAGAGCTGGGAGGGGCTCGCCCCCTTCTCGGATTTGGAAGCATTAGCGTGCACCGGCTCCCATCTCCGCTGTCCTCTCGCAGGCCTCTCCCTCCAGTGGTCCCAGAGCCCTGGCTTTGATTAGGGGTGCTGCTTGCTCCCCGCCTGGCCTTCTGCGGTCTTACTGGCTTATTGCAGCAGCCTTCTCCCTGGTCCCTGCTGCAGTTCTTCAGAACACGACCAGGGGGTCTCTTAAAAGCGCATTGACTCCTGTTACTCTGCCTCGGGGGTCATTCCCGGCACCTAGGAGGCCCGAGGCTCCTGGCAGGGTAACTTCCTTACCGTGTTTTTGGAGACATTAACGTGACTCGCACCTCAGGGCTTTTTGACCATGGTTGTCTTCTGCTTGGGCCTCTTTGCCTCCAGGTCCCGTCTGGCTGGCTGCTGCCCATCACTCAGCTCTTAGCTCAGCTTGTGCTCCTGCCCGGGCCGCGTGGCTCAGCGTTGACCCATGAACCACGAGGTCACCAGTTCCGTTCCCACTCAGGGCTCATGCCCAGGTCGTGGGCTCCATTCCCAGTCGGGGGCGTGCAGGAGGCAGCCGATCGCTGTCTCTCTCTCTCTCCCTGTCCCTTCCTCTCTCTGTGTAAAATCAATTAAAAACATTAAAAAAATAAATTAAATTGTGTCCCTTCTGACAGTTCCCTAATCATTCAGTTGAATCGCCCTCTTATACCTGCCTTTCTTTGTCGCGTTGCTTGGCTTTACTTTCTTCCAAGAAGCCAGGTGCCACGTCCTGCAATTTACTACCCCTGCGTTTGGGCGGTTGTGCCTCCGCCCTCTAGGGGGAGCCCGTGAGCTGGGCCTCGCTCACCCTGTCCCAGTGCCCAGGGGCTGGGCCAGGCGCAGGGCGGGCTGAGTGAGTCTCGGCTTCACTACACTTTTTGTTTATATAAACATACGTTGCTCAAAACACGACACCCTCTGTTCTCCTCTTCTGAGATTTTGGGCCCATAAATATATGTGTGGCAGTCCTTCTGTATTTTTTTTTCTGACATCATAGATTTTGATTTTTTTCCAGTTTTGACCTTTCTAATATGAAGGACCCTTGGGTTTTAGGGGGTGGTTGGTCTCCTTGTCATTTTAAAGGCATGTGTCTGTATCTTTTCTAGTCCTGCTAGGTTTCGCCATCAGAAACACCCATGGGGATTTCCCTCCTCCCCATTTTTCTTCTTGGTGTACGCCTGATACGTCGGTGGTGTTTTGGGGCTGTATGCTGTGTTTTGGGTCATTGTTATTCCAGGAAAAAATCTTTAGTAATCCTCATGTATTTTCATGAAGAGATGACTAATAGCTCAGTTTTTTTTTCCTGATTCATTTAAAAACTTACTACGACTTTTATGTCCACTTGAAAATAATTCTTTCCTAAAAACTTTGATGTTTGGAAACTTGGAGTACTTCCTGTCATCTGTAGACTTGAAAATTTTGCAGGATACTTTCTGCTTAATTCATTATGGAGAATTAAAAAAATTAAAAAAAAATATGTCTATTGATTTCAGAGAGAGGAAAGGGGGGAGAGAGAGAGAAACAACAATGATGAGAGTCATTGATCGGCTGCCTCCTGCAGGCCCCTGACTGGGGACCGAGCCCGAAACCCGGGCCTGTGCCCTGACCGGGAACCCAACCCCGATCGCCTGGATCCTAGGTTGATGCTCAACCGCTGAGCCACGCCAGCCGGGCTTTATGGAGATTTTTATTTTTTATGAGACCAGTTCTCACCCCGAATCCTGGGGACTCCTGCACAGACTAGCCATTTGACGTCACTGAGAGATACCTGACACTCACCGCAGCTGCCCACGGGAATGCACGTGCTCCTTTGTATTTCTTGCGTCGAGCCCTTGACTTTATGGCTGCTGTCCTGCACTTATCCGTCCGAATGTTGATACTTATATACAACTACGTACAGGCTCACTTAAACGAGACACTGATCAAGTTAGAAACGAACTTTGAGGAGTTTTAGAACATCACGACTCAGATTTATTCCTGCTTTTTGAAGGCACTAAGAAAAGCAAATTGTTAATTAAAAAAAAAAAAAAAAATTCTAACTTTAGCCAGTTATGGCGAAGCAGAATATTTTAGTCCATGTTACTATTTCAGCATGTTTTCCAAGGGAAGCAGAGATTTGTGAAGAATAAATATTCACAGTGAGTAATCTTGTTTTAATTAACAGCCATGAAAATCATGGTGGTTGACACTACAGACTATTTTCAGGTTTCCCTTTTTTAACCTTGGCGGTTCCCACTTAGCAGGTAGTGAGAAGGGGGCCCGCTGCCATCACCCAGCGCCCTTCCCCCAGGAAGGAAACCAGCTACTTACTCAAAGGTGACGCCTGCGGAATACTCACATTTTGTAGCCATCAGCTTTTCAAAAGACTGGGCCCACTGCAGCACCTCCTCCAGACTGAGGCTGCGGCGAGAAACGAGAGGGGCTCATCGCACTACACTATTCCCCAGGCCCTGAGGAGCTGAGTGTAAATACACTGTCTGGAACGTGACACCTGAATGTTACCGCACTGCGTTTGTGCGAGGTTTGGGGTGGAACTTAACCTTCCTGTGATGCTTTTACATTTTATTTTTACTTCCCAAATGCTTAAAGCTATTAAAAAATTACAAACGTGTTATAAACTTGACAATGTGATAAAACTAATTTTAAAACGAGAAAGAATTAGAGTCCTATAATCTCCTTGTTTCCAAATTGCCACTAGAAATATTTTTATTTATTTCTTTTTAGGCTTTTTGTTGTGCGCGTGTTTGTGCGTTTTGAAGCAAGAAGTATTCACATTCTGATTGTATTTGTGTGTGTGTGTGTGTGTGTATATATACACACATATATATACACACACACAGTGTCCTCTGCAAAAATATATTCACACTTTGGCTGCCATTATGAATTCCAGTGGGTTAAATCTAGAAAAGAGAGAAACATCAATTGAGCTTTTAGCTGTTAAAGTGTGTATCCAGTTTTGGGGGACCCCGTGTGTAATATATGTCGGCGTAATGAGATTTTTATGTGCCTTCACAACTGTCTCAATAACCGTTGGTAGTGCTGTGATTGATGATCATCGGCACTGCCTACGACGCATAGTGAGCACAGACTGTTCTCCAAGCGGCCTCTCGGAGGTTACGTAACCATGCTCAGCGAGCATTATGATTATTCCCCGTTCTTCACCCTCAAAGCCCCACGCGGCCCGGCTGTGATTAAGGCTTGCCAGGCCCTGCTGAGGACAGGAGCTGAAGGAGATCACGTGGGTCAAAAGAGGCACCTTTTAAGGGGGCTCAGTACAAATTGCCAGGTTGCTTGTAGAGCGTCAGGCATTGTGTGCAGCAGTGTGTGTGCAGGGTTACCCACTGGACTCCTAGCTTATCCATGCACCGTGTTTGCGTGCAGTCACACAAAAAAGCTCTCTTATGCAGATATTTTCTATTAATTGCCACAATTTTTTACATGTTGAGGGTTTTAATTTTATTACTGTGAATACCATGTCCAGTTACACTTGACCTAAACAGTATTAAAAAACAAAAACATTTACCATTTAGAAAATGTCTGTGAAGGACGCTGACTTTGGGGCTTTATTTCTGCTCTTTTTGGTGGGCTTTTGGGGTGAACTGGCAGTGCTTACGCACCAGTTATCCTGCCTTCCCTCTATTACAATACTCTGTGTTCACTGCCGTCCAGTGCATGACCCATTCTTGTTTCCTGTGTCTGGGAGCTGCATATATGGAAAGACAGCTCTAGACACAGCTGGCTAATTTTGGCTGATTCCGGTACAGTTAGTCCCATAATTGGTGTTGACAGGACAGCCGTCAGCATTAGCAGGTACCTGACGCAGCCAAGGAGGCTCTGCAGTACCCAGGACACGGGGGGATATGGAGAGGCCCAAGCCAAGGCCAGCTGTGCTTTGTTTTCTAAAAATTGAGGCGGCTCTTGAAAGTTTTAGACGGACTGTTTGCATCAGCACCGAGGCTTAACAGTGCACTGCTGTGAAGATTGCTTTTAAAAAAAAACCAACCCCATTTCCATGAAGGGGCCCCTGACTCACTGTCCCGTAGCCGTATGAGAACTGGAGGAACAGCGGCCGAGAGAGCGTCTGCCGTCCCGAGACACGGGCAGGTGCTCGGCGGGGCTGTACCGCTCGCCGCGCCTCCCTCCGAGCCCCGTCCCGTAGGAGGAATAAATTCCGCAGCACGAGCCGACCCCCGGGACGGCCTCGGGTTCGCTTAAAGTCTGGTGCTGCGCGTGGTCGGAGGGAGAATCCTTTTGCGCCTCAGATTCTTGAGACTTATGGAGACAGGTCACTATTGCAGGTGGTGGGTGAAGTTGTGAAATGAGATTTGTTTGTTTTTTTTTTTTTGGTTTAATCCCATTTTGCGTGTACTTTTTCCTTAGTATCTCCCACATTTCACACTGTCCCGTGGCCGTCCAGGTGCCCTCATCAGAACTGTTCTAATCACCTCTGCCTCCTCCAGCGCCCAGATTTTTAGATAAAAGCTCTCCTCTTTTGTGTCCCCCCCTTTCTTCTGGACAGGTAGACAGTGGATACCAGATACGGGAACGTTCTCAGACATCATGAGGGAGAGAAGAATAATGAGTGTTTGGAATCTGACCGTCCTGGCTTCTGATGCCAGTGCTGGACTTAATTGCTTGGGTCTTGCCTCATATCGCCAGCCTCAGTTTTGTTATCTGTAAAATGGGGGTAATCACATCTGTCTCCCGGAGATAGGATCATGGAAATGACATTAGGTCCTGAAGGGAAAGCGTCTGTCGAATGACTGTTACCTAGCGGCTTGCCCTTGAACCCCTGTTCCCGGCCTTCCCTTCCCTGGGCGGGTCTGCCGGGCAGGCGGGAGGAAACGGGAGCCCTCACGGGGACACGCTGAGGGCGGGAGTCCTCAGCAGACTGTGCCCGTCCGCAGCAGCCACACCTGGCCCGGAACGCTCAGCCTTGGGTCTGACGGCCGCCTCCGCCCACACGCGGTGCTTGCACACATTTTGGGGCATTTTGCTGCTTCAGGGCTTGAGCACGCACCCCAGGAGCTGTGGCCAGCACCGAGGCCTCCAGGCGGGCAGGCTGGGCACCGCTGACCTGACAGGGACCCTCAGCCCAGGGCTCCCTGAGCGGAGCAAGTCCAGTCCCTGGCTTGTTCCCTTTCTCAGACACTCCACTTTCCATTCCGATGCTGTCACCGTGTGGCCCCCACACAGCTCCCGTGTCAAACAGACTTGGGAGCTTGGCCAGCATTTGGCTCCGCCCGAGTCTCACCCCTTCTGACCGGGGATGAAGATTTCTGACCCTCTGCAGGTGTGGGATTTGAACCATGAAAATATGTTGGATCAAAGAATCTCATTCTAAGATAATAGAAAAGTTAAAAAAAAAATAAAAAATCTAAGAATGTTTATTCATCACAGACTCTCTGAAAACACGTAACCTGCTGAATTCTCACGTGTAAACCATGAACGATGAACGCGGAACCTAGTGTAACGCACGGTTGCTCTCCTGGGGGCCTTACTCACGCGTGAATGCAAATTTCACTTTCTGAACAAACTGTGTTAAGACAGAGCTCCGTTTATCATGCGGCGAAATGCGTTATAATGGCCGAGTTTAACTGCGACTTACTTGGAAGGGGGCCTCGTCGATGCGTCTCCACACATCCTGCAAACCCAGCAAGTCCGCCTGCTCATTTTTCTAGAGAAATACAGCAGTCACTTAGCATAATTGAGCCATTTAAAATAATGATATGTGAGTCCCTTTCTAAGGAGCCCACAGGAGTTAAAAAGCTTAAAGTTAGGGGGGGACAGTCACTGGTGGGGGGGCGGCAGGAGACTAGAAGGACCCGTCTCACAAATATTTATGGGGATGCAGGTGCTTAGAGTTGTGAGTTCAGGACCCACCTGAGGGGTGGAGAGAGGAGCCCTTTCTAGAAAGACGCAGCTGACCAAAGATGATTAATATAGTAATCGAGACCGAGAAGACTGTCCCATTGACCCCCGGTCCACACTGGTCTTCACTCTAATTGGACCCTTCGCCTCACTAACATAGTTCAAGGTTTAGGATCCCTCATCTCTGATCACCTCCAAGACGCAGATCACCCAACGGCTCTCTGCTTATCTTGTAAGCCGGGGGGTGGTCAGGAACTTCCTCTTTTCGGGCCTCTCCTGTCGGTGTAACTCGTCCCCCCGCCTTCCGCTGGGCCTGGACTTCTCCCTGCTGACTGCCTGCCTGCGACAGGAGTGTTCAGACCCCCCGGCTCCTCACTGATCCACCAGAGCCACGTGTGCACGTTGGTGGTTCCTGTACCTGAAATTCATGCCTATTTACACGTTACCATATTTTTCTAACTTTAATGGAATTATTTAGCAAAGGCAGATGGGTCTTAATATGCATCGCTCACTGGGGTCAGAAGCACAGCCAAGGTAAAGCGATTTCCAGATGCACCAGGACTTAGGGGGGGGCCCAGCTCCCGGGAGGTGACAGGGTCCATTAGAGTAATTCCGGGCTCTGAAGCCGGACAGACTCGTGCCCGAGTTCGGGCTCTCGGACGTTTCCGATTCTCAGTCTCCTTTTCTCTAAAGGAGACTGAGATGAGAAAAGTCCGTGCCGAAGCCTCCTGTTCCAGTAAATCATGTGCCCATGCAGCTTCCTGCGCTCTGTCGCTCAGGAAACACTTCCTAAGCTTTTCTGTGTGCACAGGAAGCGCACGTTGTCAGGCCGCATTCCTTCCTCTTTTTAAATTTCACTCAGGCCCTCACGTGCTTTCCCAGGGGCGCGTGTTCAGGCCTCCCCCTGCCGCGCTCATTTTAACTTTTCTTTGTCGCTGTGCTCAGATATCTTTGTTGTTCGCGTATTATGTTAGTCGCAGGAGTCTGAGCTTTAGGGTGAGCCGGGTCTGCCACAGGGCCTCAGGCACTTTGGGGTGCGTGTGTCCTATGAAGAGATGGAGCCACGGGGAAGGGTTTGTTTGGTCTGAAGAGCTCGGGCAAAGTGCTGGAGGGCAAAGGGGTGGGAGGACAGCCGGGCAGAGCGCCCCGTGGGTGCGGTCATGCAGGGTGTCCCCTCTGTAGAGACGCCTGCTCTGGAGGAGAGAAGAGGCTTCGGTTCAGCCACACTCCCCTTGCCAGCGACGGGCCCCAGGTGTGGCGTTGTCCACAGGGGACGGCCGCCTTTCTTAGTCCCGGCAGAGGCTCTGCGGGGAGCAGCCACAGCCCTGCGCCCGGCTGTGAACTGAATCAGAAGGAGGTTCTCGGGCCCAAGCCTCTCATTGATGGGGTGACATTGGCAAAGGGGTGTAATATAAATAATATAAATATAAATATAAGTACAAATACTGTGCAACAATCATGGTATTTACGTCTCTGACTCACCTACTCTTGCGAGACTGTATAGACNCAAATACTGTGCAACAGTCATGGTATTTACGTCTCTGACTCACCTACTCTTGCGAGACTGTATAGACTCCCTGAGGTTTTATGTTCAAATGCTGTTGGATACCATTGGGAGTAGTTGAGTATGTCGTCTAAGTCACGTGTTCACAGGTGTATTAAATTATGGGATACCGTAGGATGTAGTGACATAAGAGCATCGACAATTAAACTAAAAATTGGCGACAGAATTGTGTGTTATGCGTGGAATAAGCAGACCACAAAGCAGCCCTGTTTTATGAAATNAAGTAGCTGAGTATGTTGTCTAAGTCACGTGTTCACAGGTGTATTAAATTATGGGATACCGTAGGATGTAGTGACATAAGAGCGTCGACAATTAAACTAAAAATTGGTGACAGAATTGTGTGTTATGCGTGGAATAAGCAGACCACAAAGCAGCCCTGTTTTATGAAATTCTCTGGTTTCTGGCCCTTTGAGAAATGGGCCTTGCTGGCGCCCCAGTGGCTGGAGTTCTGCCCCTTGGGCCGTCCGCACCTGCAGCCGGGCTGCCCGCCTGCCCTCTAAGGTTTCTGGGGCTCCGTGTCCACCCACCCGCGGGCACCCCCTCGTTGGTTACCCCTGGACTCACTCTCACTGTGCTCCGCTACTTTCCCGGGGCGTCGCAGAGCCCACCCCGTGTTCTCCTGATGCCGTCTACGCTGAAACCAGGAGATAAACTCACGCTATTGAACCCAGCTTCTGGGAATAAAACATATCCCCCCCCCAAGTTTATTACCTCCTTCAGCCAAAACACTGCTGACATGTACTAAATGACACGAAGGGGGGGAAGGGAGATTAAATAAAGATACAGAAAACAACAAAGTATTTCAAACTAATTTGAGAAAGAGAATGATGGGATGGAAATAAAAATCTCATACCTCTCATTTGAGAGGAGAAGGGGTAGTAGTAGGCTTTGGGATTTCATCGGACAGAAATGAAGAAAATATAATTCACGGTCTGAGGACAAAGAATTTCCGAAGTAACTAGCGGTTTATAGAGAAAGACCTGCAGCCCTGCGTTCCCATCTGTAAACACGAAAATGTAGAGGGCGGAGTGGAACACGCTCAACACTTAACTGCCAGGAACTTTTAGGAAATATTTTTGGTAATTCCAAAAAGAGTGAATTCTAAATTTTTTTTTTTTTAAGGTATAGCTCTTAGGATTAGAATTTGATTAAAATATTCCATTGACAAGCTCACATCTGTTTGGGTTATAGTCAGACCCAGTTAAGACCTTCAGTTAGGTTACCGCCCCGGGCGAGTGCCCCGACCAGCCTCTGAGAGTCCACAGGCCTGCTGCTCTGCTTGGGCAGAAGAGAGAGTCCCTGTGAAAGGACGACCTGAGCCCATACGACGCAGAATTGATTTAAGTTGGAGAAACTCACCAAGCTGCAGAGCAACAGTCATTTTCCTCGGATGTCGGTGGTGAGATACGTGGAAACAGTCCATCGACCTAAAGATAAAGTGACAAAACCCAGCAGAAACGAGAGATGATCATGTGCTCCCTGGAGAGAGCTTATTTGGCAGCGATTTCTGTAAATACCCCGCCGCACGTTTTAAGTCAATAGTTTACTCACTTTGTAAGTATTGGGTGAGGGCGATCCTTGTGTTTTGATTTAGTAATTTCTTATCTAGACATTCATTACTTTTATGGCTGTTATAAAACTTGCGATAGTTTTAATTTCTGCGTTCCATTGCTTTTTCTTCAAGTATTTTTTTGTTTAATGTTAACATCGTTCACCCACTTGCCTGTCTTTTTTGTTTTTCAACATTCACTAGTGGGCACTTTTACAGCCTACGTGTGTTTAGAACCAGTTTAGGTCTCCATAGTTTTTTCCCCCTCAGTGTTTTCTTCTGATTATTTTTAAAAAAACACACATTTCACCTGTAGAATCTAATTCTTAGAGTGGGTATCAGTGCATTAGTGACGAATTGAGTTGAATATGTATCGTGCCAGAAATAGATTCAGGTTTCCACCAGCATTTAAATGAATTCTTTCTCAAAGCGATATGAAAATAGAAATGAATTTTCTGAAATTGAGCCTTTTCACGTATTTAATTTTTTTTTTTTACTATCCTGATAGGCAATCGATCAATCCTTTCTGTTTATACATAGTATCTGTCGTTAGGTATGCTGCTTTATATTATGATGCAACAAGTCACATAAAATTTAGAAAAACCTAGAGCTGCTTACATTTTTGTGAGGTTTTGTTTGCCACAGCCCACAAAATTCTTGCCTTCTAAAAAAGCAAGTAATTTGTGTGTAGTTGGGCTCAGCCATAGCATTAAGGAATGGAGACATTCTGTAAAGTCAAGATTCACAATGTTTCCTGTAAACCGTACAGCCTGGGATCAGTACAGCCCATTAAATGATGGGACTGATTATTTGGTAAATGCATGATTTTCAAAACAAACAAGTCTGAAATATCTGACTGTATTTCTTTATCCAAACCTACGTACACATATCTACACACAAAACCCCCATAAAATGAAAGACCATAGGTACCCTCCTCTAGAACTGTAATATTCCTTTTACTGCCTAATTTAGAAGCTTCATTTACACATATGTGACTGTAAATTTTGTATTGTTTTGCTTTAGGTGTAGAAAGCCTAGACCAGGCCAACATACGGGTTTCCTGGTCTTTTTTCCTTAGATGAAACCTGTTAACGTTTCTGGCAGCCCTGCCGTTGAAGTAAAAATCCACTAGTCATTTACACCAAGCCAGTATTTCTGTCTCCATCAGCCGCGTTAGAGAGTCTCGTACTTACACACACGTCCCGTGGAGCGGTCCACCGTGCTAAGTTTTAGTATTTCCTCTTTGTAGGATCCTTTTGAAGTCAGTTTCTGAAATGTCACGAGACACCCAGCATTTTATTTTTCCTGGAATTAAAGAACTTGCTGCCTCTGTGATCACCTTTGCTCACACTCTGGTCCCTGCACGAACGTCCCGTGTTTATACTCGTATCTATGCAAAGAGAGGTTTTGTTGAATATGGAAAGCAGTGCCGGGGGCCCCCAGTGCGCCGCTGCTGATAAAGAGGTTTTATCTGACAGCATCGGCCCATCTGAAGTGTCCTATGATTGGAAGTCTCCAATGTAATAGTCAGACTTCTTTCCCCCCCAAAGAATTCATTTTTTCCGGTCTCAGAAAATGTGTAGCTTCAAGTAAAAACCTCTCTTGTAAAACAGACGGAGGACTGAGTACCAGTAAGTAGGCTGCCGGTGCCAGCCCTTGCTGTCAGGTTATTGGGGACTGTTAAAATCAGTCTTTCAGTTTTACTAAGATGACTCAGGACAAGTAACAATGGAAAGACCGAACCAGGCCCCTTTTCTAGTTAAGCCCTTCTCGTTGCTTCCACGGAGCCTCATGGGGCCATTTCTGAACTCCCTGGTATTCTCGAGTTTCTTAATATTATCTGTTAAAATCTGGACTGAACACAGTGTTCCAGAGAGGGACTAATGAATGCAAAATATGAGGAGATTGTTAATGTCCTTGTGCTGCGTCTGATCCCGCCGTGTCTGTGTGGGAGAGAGAAGCAGAGGGGTGGGGGTGAGACACGCCGGAGTGAAACAGTGGGAAGGAAGACAAGATGTCACGGGCGGAGTGCTGCTTAGAGTATTTAGGAGCCGGAGGAGGTGGAAGCTGCCCTTTCCTTACATTTCAGGACTTGAGGCCCATATGTTTGGGACTAGAAAAGGCCGACAGACTCCGTGAAGCCTGAGGCTCCTTAGGTGACGCAGGGAGGGAAGGGCCCGAGTCGGGTTCCTGGGGCAGGATTCAGGCTGTTTGCCGAATGCACCCACGTTCGTGGGCTTCTGGTTGTCCACTCCCTTCCCTGTCTCAGGACCTTCGGGTGCCTCTCTGGCACCGTACCTGAGATGCAGGGATATTTCCCCGTCCTCCCGGCGTGGGAACAGGGAGCGGGGCGGGAAGATCCTGGAAGTAACGCCCTGAGCTTGTGATGAACTGAGACCTGCGCACCCCTGAGTCCTTTTGCTCCGTTCCTGCCTCAGCCAGACCAAGTGCTGCAGAGGGACACAGGCTTCAATGTGCAGAATTAAGGAATACCTAATACTGTGCTTTTGTGTGGTTAAAATCCAAAATGAACGTGCGCACAGGAGCCGGAGAGCGAGATGTTAGAAAGTGGCTGTTGTCGAGCTCGTGGCCTTGCCTTCCCGGGCGCGTCTTTGCAGAGCAACCTCGTGAGTCTCAGCAGACCCAGGACCCGCATCTCGGGGTGCGGCCTGGCCTCGCCCTGCAGCCTGGGGGCTCAGTTCACTCGCTGCTGACTAGAAACAATCTAACTTTGGCTTCTGCCCCGAGTGAGGCAGAAACAAAGTGACAACATACATTAGGACACCCGACACTGTTGCCAGCACAAGTGCACTTAAATAGCAATTAAAATTAGATACCAGTTTTGTCTGTATTTATTCAAATGACTTACTCTCAAGACGCCTTACTACAATCATGGCTCTGCCAGTCTATAAATTTCCACCACCGACTTCCAGTCGTCGTAGTTTCTACTCGGCAGCTGCTCTGAATCCATCCTCTCGGCCCTTCAAGGAAATCAATAATGTTCTCAGATTTTCTGATCTCCAGTTTGTAACTGAAAGGGAACAGCCGTCCTACTTGGTTCCCGTTTTCTCCTGGGCACTTACTGGTCTCATTCTGTGCTTACCCACTAGATTCCAGATCAGTTAGTACCTTACGGTTTCCCCACCATGCATTTAAGGCAACACTAACAGCTAGGAAAGCAGTGCTCTTTCCTGGCCCACAGTTGTTTATTGGGAGTGGGCTGTGTCTTAGCTCTTAGGAGGTTCATGGCGTTTATCTGTGGACCTTCTGACGACAAGGCTGAGGGTCCCTCTCTCTCCGAATTCAGTTTGCCTTGACTTTCTCAGGCAGCCCAGGCACGTCCGACCCGGGGCTGCTTTGTTATTTTCTTGGCTTGGTGGGTCCCTGGACCACACAGGTAGGGTATGTTTAAAGTATAAACCCAGGAGAGTGTACACCTGGTATTATGCTCACTCAGACATGCTTCTTTGTCATCGGTTTTTGCAGGTAACTCGTTTTTCCTGTTTATTCTTTCGCTGACGATGTAGCACATTGAGGGCCCTTGGCTCAGCCTCCTACCTGGACAGCCGGGATCTTGTTTGCTGGCTTGCAAAGGACTCCCAAGAGCCAGCCCTGTAGATAACCGAGGTTAGCAAATGCTGAGCTCGGCTACACCTTAAATGCTAGTTCACCCCTCAGACTTTAGCCTCCCTCTGTTTTTCCTTGGAGACTTTCCTTCATTTTGCAAAGTTAACTATGCGATTAAATGGGGGGAGGTACTTGTTATATTGTTTTCTAGTAATTTGAGGTGTCTGGTAGCGAGCAGATCTTTCAAGGTATGTCTTGCCTACTACAATCTATGTTTTCTTTTATATGAAATTATGTGATATATTCCTTTTTAAATAAAACTAAATGCAGTGACATATCAAGGACTTACTCAATTTCCGCAGGGTTTTTGACTTCTGTGCTGTAGGAGAGGCGGTGAGCAAACACACCTGTGCCACATTTCCTATTTCATTATTATTTTAAATCACCGGGATGAAGATGGCTTGTGCAGATCGATATTTAAAAACGTGTTGACAGTCTTGGAACAAGCCTGCGCCCAGGGCGATGGTGAATGGTGATGCACAGCCCCACCTGTTCGTGGAGGTCTGTCCTGTCCCGGACCCAGGGAAGCAGGTAGCCAGGCAGTGACTCAGAGGCAAGGACAGGTTAAGAAGAAACAGGTCCTCCCATCCGCTGACAGGTGGCACATAAGAGGGCAGAGAGCTCAGGAGTAGCCTGCGTGGTTTCTCTCTCCTTTACCAGGGGAATCTCCGGCTTTTCTCATGCGTGTCTCAACTGCATTATGTGAACACAGCGTTGAGACGGGCATAGTAGATGCTCAGTGAATATTTGAACAGTGAATACGTAGTATTCCCTTTCTAACAAGATTCACCCAAAATATAAACGACCCAGATGTTCTCTTAACCAGTTTCCACTAATACAAAAGTTGTGGAGTGGACTTTGGGAAGGATTATATTGTATGTTTTCCCACCTCATAAACCTTCCCTGGAGATGGGCCTGTGTCTCCGCTGTAACCTTTTTACAACCACAATTAGCGTCGTAGTTAATGAGACGCTGCTACGATTTGTAAGTATAATTTACCCAAAGGAGTATTTTTATGAGGCATGCAAATTTAAACAATGGAGCCCTTGTGTTTCTATCAAACACGGAACTAGAATGAAACACAGAGCCAGGGTTTGCTCTGAGGATCTGAAAATAACATGACGAAAAACTGTATTTTACAACCTTTGGAAGGATAGGAAGTGCAGGAACCTCCATGTTTCCCCAAACGCGTTTCAGGTACCGAAGAAAATGGTACTTAACAGAACCTGGAACTTGTTGAACTGAACTGAAACATTTTCAAATACAAGGTGTCCCCAAAAGTGTATACACCCTTCGAAGGCTGTGTTTATTAAAATACATTTTCAACATGTAGTAGAATCGATGGCTACCAAGCTGTTAGAGTGTGTATGGTTTTTTGGGGGGACACCCTGTATAGTAATTTATAAAAACCGGCACTTGGTGCCCCCAGGTTAGTGGACACTTCTTCCGTCTCGTTGCTTTCGCCTCTGTGGGTGGGCAGAGCGCACGCAGGACGCGACGTTTCCACGTCGGTCGGCTTCTTACTGCCTCTGCCGAGCGGTTTTGTGAAAGGGGCTCTCGCAGTAGGGTGGTGTTTCTGTATTTAAACCTCGTTGTCTGTGTCGGACGTTGAAGAGCTCGTGTCTGAAACAGCTGCTCCTGCCTCGCTTCAAAGGGTCAGCTCTGTCACAGACGCTGAGAACCTATAGGAGCCTTGGAGAGGACCCGCTTCACAGCCTCAGTCGCACGAATTTTTTTTTTTTAAGTATGTTTTTATTGATTTCAGAGAGAGGAGGGGAGAGAGAGAGAAACATCAGTGATGAGAGTCACTGATCGGCCGCCTCCCGCACCCCCTGCGGGGCATCGAGCCCGCAACCCGGGCCTGTGCCCCGACCGGGACTCGACTGTGACCTCCCGGCTCATAGGTCGACGCTCAGCCCCTGAGCCACGCCGGCCGGACTACTTGCGAGTCTTTAACATGGGTCCTGTTGGGTGGAATAAGTGGAATGAGATGCTTCTAAATGTAACTTGCCCGTCTCAAATGATGTGGCCGGGGCAGCATTCTCTATAGAAACACAGTGTATGCTGCGTACCCCAGAGTAAACAAAACATCCTGCAGAAAAACAGATTACAGGAGGATCCTTTATGTTGGAAATAATGATCTGCTTTCCAGAGGAACTCTGTAAGGATGCCTTTAGCGGATTCCTCTGGCTTAAATATCTGAAATTCAGTTGCTGCCCGATAGTGGTTCCAGTAGAGCAAAACGTATTTGAACTGGACGACAAATGAAAAACATCCCAGCTTTTCTATATAGCTCGAACAGTTCCAAACGCTGGCTCCATCAGATAATGTGAGCAGCAGTGTGCTCGATACACTCCTTAGAGTTTCACTGTTGCTTCCTGCCAGGGCCGAGGGTTAGGCACTGGGACGAACGATACTATCTGCAGATCGGAAATGGATTTAATTGCTAAATGGAAATGCCTAGAAATACCCTGGAGAGTCAGACATGCCTGAGAAAAGAGGGTCCAGAAAAGTATTTCGAGACGGCAGCAATTAAGGAATATTCCACTTGGGCCTGTTTTAAGTCGGGCAGTGCTCCGAAGTGGCCACGCAGCTTTATTTTTAGGCTTCCCGTTTAT